TCACAGACTTCAGCTACTGAAGTATCATTATGGACCAGAACTACAGAAGAACAAGGTGGAAGAGTGACAACTAAATAATAATGTTCTAAACCATTTTCAGTTACAGAGTCCAGAGCAGCAGGTTGAGATTAAAGAAGGGTAGGATGCAACCTCACCTCATGTGGAGCTCCTTTGAAGACACTTGCAGACTGGTAGATTGTTTCAGTCCAAAGCTTTATGTCTTCATTTTCCAACTCCTCTGCTGTCCTATAGAGGGACTTGGGAACCAGCCCACCCTCTGGTACTTCACACTAAAAGCATAAACAGCCATTAAAAAGTATCCCCTGTTGTACCTCCACACCCTGTCACACCCTCTTGCCTGCTGGCTTCAGAAACAAAACCCCACCTTCAGCAACTACTCTGAAGAATGTGAAGATGTGAGGAGTTTGAAGGTAATTTGATGGCTTGTATATCAGACATACATTTATTTTCCAGTGAACTGTTTGAGGTGGGTTTGCAGAACTTGCCACCAGAGGAACTGATCTTGCATACACACAACAGTCACCAGCCCAGAAAATGACTGTGTAAATGCTGCAGTTATCACTGAAGAAGGGCGTGAGCCACTTTGGAATCCTGAGGGAAGTGGCAATAGTGACTCAGTTTAAAAAGTACAGCCTAGAGGCCTGATTAGCTAAAATTAAGACCAGAGGATGGTGGGGAGATACAGTAAGTTTCCAAACAAGTAAAAGGATATTGCAATCAGGAAAGGTAACAGTTTTCAAGCTCCAACTGTCCAAACAACAGTGTTACACAACTTCCCTAAGTAATTATCTTTCTTAAACAATGTCTAGTAACGAATTCAGACAATTATCTGATCAGGAACTAGTTCTGCAGAAGCTTTTGGGGCAGTAGAAGTGTTTGATAACTGAATTGCAACAGGGAATTGAAAGGATCTTTGAGAAGTAATTTTTTTTGTTCAAATATCCAGAAGTAAAGAAGCAGAGAGAAACAGACTCCATTACTGTCCCTGACCAGCAGGAAGTATTGTAGCAATTTGCTTTCTGGTAACACTGACTTTTGCTTACTTAAGCAGTGAATTTTGCCAGCTCCTCAAGCACAAACTCTCTCCACAGAAAGCTTCTGCTGCAGCAAAAAGCAGCCCAGGGAAGATAAACTCATGCTCTGCTCCAACACATCTAACAGAACCTCATCATAAATTGAAACTGTATTTGAACAGACCTAGATGGATTGTTAAGAATGGTACAGAGATTTTTCTAGAAAATGTAGAGGGGCTTAAAAGGCAAGTCTGAAATGATATTTTAACACAGCTGAGTTCAGAAAAAAAAATTATCTTAGTGTTATTGTGATGGAGGCTCCAGAAAATGCCTGACTTGCACTTCTACACCCCAGTCACACCAGTGAGACTGTTGTCAAAAACATTACAGAGAAAACAAACCTTAATTGAGATGTTAAAATGACAGATGCAATCTACCCCCATTGTCTAGGCAGAAAGCAGCTGTTAAGGCACATGACAAAGGACAGAGAAATTACACTATCCTGCAGTCAAACAAGTTGTTTGTTTTGATCAATGCACATACTGCACATGGAGACCTGGCTGGTTTGTTAAGCCCTGCTAGCAAATGTGCCACATGTACCCTTGGGCTCCCTCAGCTATCAGTCAGTTCTTCTAGGTGGCACAGCCTCTTCTGATGAGCTAGTGGTGACAACTCCTGCTCAGTGCTGTGCTGCCACATCTGCTTGAACCTGACAGGTAAAAGAGACTAAAGTTTTTAACTTCGGCAAGTGTTGTACTTTTAAAGTGGATCCAGAAGAAAATACTAAGCCTGGAATCCCACATCATAGCTCCCACCTCCAAACTAAATTAGGAATAATTCTGTGCTTCTAGGCTTTTTTGTTTAGAGAATAAAAATACCCCTACAAATAAGTTGACATATGCACTAGTTTATAGTCATACCATGCACTCTCCACCAAGAAAATCAGGGATAATTTCTTTATCAATGTAATCCAGCAATCCCCCAGGACCCTGGTAGTCATTTCCAGCATAAATAAGGAATTTCTTTCTAGTGTTGTCATCAATGAATGGACTAACCTACAAAACAAACAAACAAAAAGAATAGATTAGGCTTCCAGTTTTTTCTTGAGTCAATTTAGAAGAAATCCTTTTCATTGCATTAAGTGTTATCAACCTTGCAATGCAAAGTTCACACTAGAAAGAAGCTAAATTAACCAACTGTGTAAGCAAGTTCTTGAGCAGAGTTTTTAAATCCATTGCAGAATAGAAAAGAGATAAAAGAGAGTTGCCAAATGGTAACATTTCCTGCCCATAAAGCCTGGTTTCTCAAGTGCTTTTACAGACTGCAAGTGTGTAGCAGTGGACTGAGGGTTGAGGAATGCCTTGAATTCAACATACCAGTGTCCAAAGAACTGGGAATACTCGAGGTGCTCTTAGGATTAGAAGTCGACCCAAAGTCTCAGGGTAATTGGCTTCAACTACCTCAATGATTCTTAGCAATGCTTTGACACCAGGTCGCCATAAATGCCTCATATTCAAGCCTTCTAGATCCACTAGGCAGGTCCAAGAGCTGAATTTTGAGAAAGACAAAAATAAAAAGGAGAAATCTCAGTGGGATCAAATCTCTTTCTTATGCAAGTGTTCAATGTACTGAAATGTGTGGACCCCACTGCCTGTTTTAGTTTCTATTTCACCTCCTTGCTGCAGACAATGGAGCTTAAGACCCTCAGAAGTGTCTTGGAGTGGGCCAAGCACAGTCATGGCAAGATCACTTTGCCCATCACATTTATTCCCCCCCCCCAGACATTTCACACTCCAGGTGAAGGTTAATATGAAGCAAAAAAAGATCCTGTCAACAGCCAGCCCAAACATGAAACCATTGCTTCTACTGGGAAATCAGCTGAGTGGTCATGCTGCTCTGAAGCAATTTCACATTCATGGTGCAGATTCAGATTCATGGTGCCATCACATGTTACAGCTAATTATATTGTCAGATCTCAGGGAGGGAAGCTTTTCCTACAGGAAGAGGTACATTCTTAATTCCAAATACTGAGCTCCAGCATCTGCTTTAATTACTTTCCAAGTTCAGGTCTCACCCTGGGCATGAATTCAAGAGTGACAGCTGTGCTGCACCAGCTAGCATCCATGAAATCATGCCTAAGGCTTCTGTGAGACAGCACACACTTCTTGGTTTCACTTTAAATGTTTAATATGCAGTCCCTTAGCATTACTTCTACAAATGAAGATCCAGGAGGCAGCACAATTTCACAGTTACATGCATGAAATCCACCTCTTGGATTTGACCTCCCACTGACAGCTGGGACAAGGTCTTTAACAGGGAAAAGATAAGCAGACATACTATCCATCCCTGAACCTTTCCACATTAAGGGAACCACTTCTTGTGGATTTTGTATTTTACCTTATTGGCCTGCCAAATACTTTTGTATTCTCCTCACATCTCCTCAGTCCTTCTTCATTTATTGAAAGAACCTGTAAAAAGAAACATGTTTTAGAGAAGACAGCCTTAAGCTCAGTAGATGGGATAAAGAAAAAAAGATGTTTACCACCAAAGACTAATGAAAACTACAAGATCAAACCAGCATAATTTTTTTTTTTGCAAAGAATGACCTAAAAATCCCTGTGTTTACTCCGCTGGTTGATCTTGTTGAAAAATAAACATACCTTTCCATAAAAGCAGTAAAATGTAAACAAGGTCCTGCTGAAAACTGAGAGCCAGGAGTGATACAGACATGAAGTCTCCCTACACTTCTGCTCTTTTAAGCACTGATTTCCTGTTTAGTCCAAAACTAAAGCCCCTTTTTAAGTCATAAAAAGTAACCTTGAAACAGAACTAGGACAAACAAACAGAATTGAGTATGTGCCTGGAAATGCCACTGGATGAGAAAAAGTAAAATTTGTCCCCTGCTTCTTGTGGTTACTATGGCTGTGACTGTCATTACTAGGAGTCAAAAAATGTATTGCAAACCTGGAATTCTGCCAGCTTTCTGCTTGGAAACTGAGAAGATCCACAATAACACAGTCTGAGTGATGCTTTTAGAGAAGGCAAAATGACACTACTTTTTCTTTAAAAAGAAATTATCCTAAACCTTGGCAAATGTAGAGACTTGAGTTTGAAGCACTGCACAAACTGCAGAAGAATCTGTGGAAATGGTAACCAGTAACTACAGGAGCTGCCAAGAACTACGCCTTTCCACCATCAGTTTGCAGTTGGAAAGAATGCAGAAGATCAGCTACCAGGGGCTTTCAGATGTATTCAAACCAAAAACAGACGGCCAGAGAGTACATAAAAATATCCAGAGTGATGAATGTTCTGGCAGAAGAGGAAATTTCTAAATGAAAATATCACATTGTTAGCAACTTGCTGGCTCCAGAAATACTTACGTATCGAAGCAAGGCCTCTTCCCCAAGAGCTCTCACCAAGCCTTTGGTGTCCATCTGTCCCAACCTCAGCACATACAGTGGACGACCATCTGAATAACAAGAATATAGCAACATAACCCCTCTTTTTTTTCAGCAACAGACAACTGGGAGCGAGCTCATTTTATGCTAAAAATCCAAATGGACGCAAGCCATAATCAGTTCAAACTTCATGGTACAGCTGGAAGAGGGAGGACCTGGAGCAGATGGCAGTAGCATCTCTACCCTGTCCAGCTACACCAAAGAAGGTCTGGAAATGAACTGTGAAAGTCTAATGGAGACATCTTGGTGCAAAAATAGCTCCTGTATCTGCAAGGAACATTCAAAGAACTTCAGCAAGTACGCAGGTGCACACAGGATCTTGGTGTACATAATTACAGACACAGGACTCATTAGCTTCCAGGACAGGTAAGACACAGGGAAAGCTTTAGTCCATTAGTGTAACTGAAGGGTTAAGCTTTCTGCTGCACATGAAGCAGCACTGCCTGGAGAGCTTACAGCAACTCTTCTGGAACAGGAGGTACCCGAGTTCTGGGAATTAATGACAGCAAGTGTTAACCCAGACTCTTGCTTTCTGCAGTATTTGCTGAAGTCACACCTTCCAGCTATGTCATTACATATGATGCAGAACCGGCACACAGCCTCACTTGGGCAGCTTAAGCCTGGTGAGATCAACTTCAGATGGACCTTCTGCATCTAAAGCCTTGCCTCTTCATGGATATCTTGCTGCCTACTGGGGCATCCTGATACTGTCCAGGGTACAAAGGCATGAAGCTTAATAACTGAATTGGCTGAATTTGAGAATCAAAGCTTAAATTTCTGGCTCTTCATAATAGGAGGTAACTGTCTGAAACAGCTTCCATCCTCCTCTCAAAGCTGGGATGCATCTTTTTAATCCTTGCTCTATTCTAGTACACAAGGTAAATAATCACCAACTTACAAAACTGAATATGCTGGACACAAACCAAAAAACCAACACCTTTCTACATAAAAATCTCCCTTAAGTTCTGTTATCTGTTGAGCTTCACTTCCCTCCAACAACTGCAAAGAGAGGTATCAAATTATCACTAAGTCCTTTGGGACACAAGGAAAGAGACTATAAAGAAACCTTATTAAACAAACAAACAAAACTGCAGTGTCAAGGCAAGTTACTCATTTGGCAAAGACACTACCCCCAGGAAAGGTCACAGTCTTGTATTCTATCAGGTGGTGTAAAAGAAAATGTTGTTTTAACACCAGCACACACTTATCTTGGAATGTGCTGTTTAGCTTTTGAAACACTAAACATAAAGGGCTATTAAGCTTCATAGGTCTCCCTCCCTCACAGATGGACACACATCCAAGACCAAACTAATAGCTTATAACCCTGGTCCACCCAAATGACACATGAAGGGAAGTGTCAGCTGACAGGACTGAATTATCACTGCATATTTTTTATACTCCATTAGAGCTTTGTAATTTTTAAAAAACAACACATTTGACTGAAGCTTTCCTGTAAAAATAAAAGCAACTCAGATGTATAGAAAACCATGCCAATTGCAAGCCAAAATATCTTTTATTGTTTTGCACTAAGAGCTCATTCTAGACAACACACTTCGTAATCACTGCTGCCTTTGCTTCAGTGCTAAAAGCCACACAGAATTCAGCTAGCTTAAGTTGGGCACATTAAGCACATGTAGGAGGAAAAGGAGCAATACTAGGAAGGAGGGTTTAAATAAAACCTACCAATGTAAAATTTTAAGTCACCAAGAACAGCTCAGTTTTGAAAGTCTGTTTCCATTATTGACAAAGCCATGCTCTACCTGGGGGCATGCTGCAAGAGACCAGAGGAACTGAAGGGGAAGGGAGGGGAGCACATAGCTCACCACAAGACTGAAAAACTTCTCAGAAAAACATTAAAAAACCCTTTGATGTATTCTGTACCTTTCTACCCAACTGGCAGGACCCTGTTATGTGCTATTGACAGAGGAAGCCTTTGCAAAATAAAGACAAGGAACTGACAGAAAGGGAGAACTTAATCCACAGGTTTTTTTCCCCTACAGTCTTCACAAGCATATTCTCATTTTTCACTCTCTTAGTTTGAGGTCTGTCAAACCCAAAGCAGCAGGGGAGAGCCATTCAAGTTCTCCAGTGATTAAACTTCTGCTGTGCCCTCCCTGTCTCCTGGCCACTACTGCTGACAGCATCCTGTCCTGTTCCATACACTTCTTTCAACAGGAAGAGCTAACAGAAACAATGGTGCCTACTGGGGAAAAGACTAAATCAGCACACAGCTCACAGTCAGAGATCATTTCCTTATCTAAGGAGTTCAGCTTGCCTCAAGCAACAAACTCCAATATGTTTCATTTCTGTGTATGTATTAGCAACAAGATCAGCACATGATAAAGCAAGCAGAGGGACAGGGGAACGTGTCAGGCACAGTCCATGTTCCAAAGATCTGGCCATGGCTCACCACACAAAAGGGAATTCAGCCAAAGCTCCTTCTCTTCTTAAATAAACCTGCTTTATTTGATGTTTTTGCAACATGCCAGTTCTCATCAATAAGCTGATTTTAATGCCAAGTAAGTATTCATTTATGCCATCAGACTTCTATACCAGAAATATGATTAGGAAGCTATATTTATTTACAAACATCTTTTAATCACTGAAAGAGAATACTCAGCATTTGCATAACACCCTTCTAAGCTTCTCAGACCTAGGAGTCTGTCTCCATCAATTAAGGAGCTGACAACATCAATTTAAGTGCATTTAGTAGGTAACAACTGAGAAGTTCTAACCCTCTTTCCAGTCAACTCTACTTAACAAAGGGACAACAATCCCCTTGAATTCAGAACATAAAAAGGCTGTTCAATATCCACCCCGTGGAGCATACCTTTGTCATGGTGATGCCAGCCACCTGCATAGTAATCTTGGAGTACTTGAGGAGGGTTCCAGGTGTCTAGAATATAGTCTACCTGGTGCTGCTTACGCCAGGTCAGTGACTGGCAAAGAATCTCTCTTGCTTTATCAATGTTGAAGTCCCGGGCACGCAGGAATCTTAAGATGTGCTTATCCTTTGGGATCTATTAAAAAAACCCAACACAATCAAATGTAATTGTATATTCAAGATTTGAAACAAGAAGAAAAAACCCCAAAGAACAAAAGCTGAGAAACATGCAGCCCTGCACCAAGGTAAGAGGAGGATGGTAGGAAACACTGGGAGTTACTCAAGCAAATCAGTCTTCCTTTGCGACAAACACATGAGGCCCATCAAGTGCTGCAGCCACCTGCACACAAGGGGTATAAAAACTTTATGAACTAATGTCATCATTCACACCTGTATGGCCACACCTTTTAGGGTGTTGCCAATGTAAATGGATCTAGGGACAAAACACAGGCTGTGTTTCATTGCTAAGTAAAAGGAAGCTGAGAGATACATGCAAATCACAAGCCACTGGAAAACCCCCAGCCTTGCTCTCAGTGATTTAACTGGCCATGTCTCTTCCCTTCCAGTCCTGCACCCAGGGACAGAGATTTGAGCATGTGTTTGGTTTGGCCAAACATTTGTTTTAGCCAAAGGTTATTGCAGAACCAGGCAGATTTTTAAAACTGACGTTAGTCCCCTGTGCTGGCTATTGACATTCTGAGGCTAATCACACTAAGCACCTCAGCTGGCAAAGTCAGCTGGCCAGTCACAATGAATATTGCCACTGTGTAGACTTAACTTACCCACTCTGTTCTGCCACTTCACAGGAACAGTTAGCCACAGGAGGTGTGGCATGACACTTCCTCGGGTCCACCTGGCATATCACATTCTGAGACAAGAGCCACGAGAGACCAACAATAACTTACTTTGCCCTTGTGTGTCTCCTGGAGCCACTGTCTCAGCCGGATGAGGCAGCTTTCCTGCATTGGTGTCAAGTCACCCAGATAACGCTTGATGTAGTCTGCGTCCAGCTTGTCTGAAAGGAGATGTAGGTGTGATTAGAGTGCTCCTGGACTGACCTAGCCCAAGCAGCAAACGATCTTATATGCCTGATATCTGCAGCAGAAAAGCAGCTGCTCTATTCTGTGCAGAGCTGAATATAAAGTTTCTTTGCATCAATGACAAGCTGAGCAAGGCAACATACATACTCATCTTAACGTTAAACCAAGAAGATTAATTCTCCTCCAGCAACTAAGAAGTGAAACCAGGGATTTATAAAAGCATTTTGCCAGTATATTCAGATTTGTCAATCCACAGCACCATAAGACTTGCTTCATCTGGAACTACTTAGAGAAGCTTTCATCTAAATCTCCCAGTGCATGGATTTTCCAAAATTCCCTTATTAACAGGGGAAGGAAGATAAAACAGAAGGCTGCGTCCAGGGATGCTTCAGTCCTTTCCTCCCCATTATTCCTACAGTTATGCTCATCCCTGAAGTAGGCAAGAAGTAGGCCACTTGCTTGCAATCTAATCACCAGTGTGAAGAGTTTTTCCACTCATATCTGATCTTCAATTACTTAAAAGACCAGTTTGCTATCCAAACATCACTGCTTTGAAAATCTGCATTTTAGCACTGCATGTTACCAAACAAAGAGCCAATGTGAAGATTTGTCCATGAGAAGCAGCAGAGTGCTGAAGGCCTCTACAGTACAAAGAATCCCACTGAACCAAGTCAGACCACCATACCATCAGGTGTTCCTGCTGTGGGCTCTGAGGGGCTGCTGGAGGTGTTGAGGATCTCCTTGTTCAAGCCCTCCTTTGTGGCAGAGTCTGGTATATTAATAGCAGGTGAAACTGGTTGTCTTGTGTGGGATGTGCTGCTCTCCAGTTTACATTCAACAGGAGGAGTCCAACGAGGAACAAAAGTTATTCCTTCTTCTTCTAGCTGCTTCAGGTAGTATTCTATTACTTCTTTTCCCTTTAAAAAGGAAAAATTACTTCAGCAACTAAAAACTCCTGTTTAGACACAGAAAGGATGGGGCTGGAAACCCATGAAGTGGCCAGACCTCTTTAAAGATTCCACTTGCAAATACAGACCCACACATACATGCTGCCCCAGGCTGGAGTAAACAGCCCAGCTTTTTCAGCAGAGCAGCCTGTTACTTAGCAGCAGCTACACTGCCTTGTGGTAACTTAGAGCCAGGCACTTCCTTCATGACTGCAAGCTCACCTTTTTAATATTGATAGTGTACTGCTTCATGGCAATCTTTTCCACTGTGCTTTCAAAACCAAAAAAAGATTTTATATCCAGACTTGCTGACTGCTCAAAACAGGTCCAGTCTTCATTCTCAGGATGAACCTATTAGTTAAAAGGAGATCATGCAGTTTAGCATTTTTTTCCTCACAATATTTGAAGTTTCCTGTTTTACAGATTCACATAGTCAAAAAACATTCAAGTGGAACTTGCAGTCTTTTGTTTCATTTGCAAAACACAGTTCAGAAAAGGCAGCACAAAGGCTGAGAAAGCTGAGAAGCCCTCCTGCAGTCCTGTGGCTAGCATAGTGCAGCTTTTTCTTAATAAGAAAGGGGAGAGTGGAGAAGTATTGATGCACCAGCCAAGAGCCAAAGGCCTAGCACATTTATATAATTAACATTGTCTCATTCTAGATATGGGCTGTGACTGCAGTTTATCTGTGGAACAGGGTAAATTCCACAGTGAACTTTAAGCTGCTGCAGGTTAGACTGATAGACTGAGGCCAACTAGTCTAAAATCTGCACAAGCAGAGTGTAAGCACTTCCCAGCACTGCAGTCTGGATGTGTTTACAACAGATCATTTCCTCGTTGACCTATTTTGTAGATTGAAAGCTATTTTACTTTGTTCTCCTATAATAAAATCAGTGTAAACTTCCCATTCAGTTGACAGCTGAATAAGCTACCTTACAGCACCCCCAACTTCCTCGTTTGCTGAAAGATGATCCTGAAACAGGGACAGACCTTGATGGAAAGATCTTTTCTAAACTCACTTCAGTTGAGACACAATCACAGAATCGTCATGGTTGGAAAAGACCTCTAAGACCAGCAAGTCCAACCATCAACACAAAAAAAAAACCCCACAACCTTGGCCATACAGCATGTCTTGAAGTACCAAATCTATACAGCTTTTGAATACTTCCAGTGATGGTGACTCAACCACCTCCCCGGGCAGGCTGTTCCAGTGCCTAACCACTCCATTACAGAAATTCTTCCTAATATCCAATCTAAGCCTCTCCTATCACAACTTTAGGCCATTTCCTCTGGTCCTGTTGTTCTTGGGAGAAGAGGATAACACCCACCTCACTACAACCTCCTTTCAGGTAGTTGTAGAGGGCAATAGGGTCTCTCCTCAGCCTCTTTTTCTTCAGACTAAACATCCCCACTTCCCTCAGCTGCTCCTCATATGACTTGCTCTCTAGGCCCTTCCCCAGCTTGGTAGCTCCTCAGGACCTGCTCCAGCCCCTCAATGTCCTTCTTGCAGTGAGGGGCCCAGAACCGAACTCAGTGCTTGAGATGCAGCCTCACCAGTGCCAAGTACAGGGGCACAATCACCTCCCTACTCCTGCCATGTAAGCTCACTCAAGATGAGCTTCTCCATGATCTTTCCTGGTACTGAGGTCAGGCTTACAGGCCTGTAGTTCCCTGGATCCTCCTTCTGGCCCTTCCTGTAGATGAGGGTCACATTAGCCAGCCTCCAGTCACCTGGGACCTCCCCTATTGACCAGGGCTGTTGACAAATGATGGAGAGAGGCTTAGTGAGCTCCCCCACCAGCTCCCTCGACACTCTGGGGTGGATCCCATCCGGCCTCACAAACTTGTGTGTGTCCAGACTTGTGCAGAAGCAGATCACTAACTACTTCCTCCTGGATTATGGGGAAAAGTGTTAAATATAAGTTGGAAATAATTCCAGAAATAATAATAATAATCAGATAATAGTGTCAAGTGGCTTTGACATCCAGTGACCTTTTAACCATGGCTCTGTACAGAACAGAAAATGTTATCTCCTCCAGGCAAAAATAAAGCTACCATAAAAATAACTGGGTTACATTTGCTAGATTTGATTTGACCTTTAACATCAACCCGAGGTTTTACTGCTACATGTTTGTGCTGTACAAGCCCATGGGTATTAGCTCAGCCATTCAGAAAAAACATCACCAGAGCACAGCAGTAAGCCTGCCCCCAGACTCCTGTCAGAAAAGGTCTGCACTGAAATCCAAAAACAGCCACAAAGAAAGAATTAGGTTAAAGCATTAGGTTAAAGAATTAGGTTAAAACAGCTGAGTCTATGTACATTTGTCTGGGTTGAGCAGAAGGTGGGTAAGCTATGTTGAACATTCCTTTAACAGTTCTGTCAGGGTATCATCAGCCTTACCAAGCCCCACACTGCCATTACAGACCAGATTTGCCTGAAGAGAGCTGTCAAACACAGCAAATTATGTTGTGTTCTGCTTGCTGAGAAGATGCTCAAAAGCAAGAAGGTGCCAAAATTGTTTCAGTTCTTCAAGGAATTGTGCTACATTTAACACTAACAACAATTATCACTCATGGTGGTGTGTTGGTTACTTTTTCTTGCAAAGCAAAAGCCAACTTCTGTGTATGAATCCTGAAATCTAACCACTGCCTTAGCTCCATCTGTAGGACCACCAAGAGCCTGTTACTCACTGTGTAACAGCAGTGTTCATTAACAACAATTCTATTAGAGAAGGTTTCATTGTAGGCTTCTATATGCAAAGTCCTTTCTCGCCTGTTCAAAGAATTCTTCTGGACAAAGTAGACATAATCCACTCCTGCAATCTGAGGAAGATGACACAGATCCAGTTAGAATACAATATTCATGTGAAAGGATATCCAAAAGCAGGCACTTCAAACCTCATCACCTTTTTCAATAGCCGTGGTGCATCTATGTCCAGCTTACAGCGCCGCTCAATCACGTGGATCGATTCATCCTCACTCTTGTATTCGTTCACAATGTCACTGGCTACAAACATAGGGATGAGAGGACACGTAGGAAACCTTCTTTCATATGCCTGTAAAGATGGAAAGAGAAGAAAAGAAGCTATGATCACAATTAATTCCCACGGGTGTGTGTAGGGTTCCTTTGCCGATATCTCCAGCAATTGGAGACACAATAATGCACTTCACAGCTTTTGAAGAAGGGACTAAACCTTCCTGGGGTCCATGTAGCTGAAAAAAGTCACAGTGCTTTCCAAACAACCCATGTATTCTCCTAATATAACCCTTTCCAGGTAAAGCCATGTTTAAAATACTCCATCTCTCCTCTCCCTCCAAAAAGGAAATTGTCATTATGTACAATGACAACCCACTTGTCAGCAGTAACAGGAAAATAAGACCCTCTAGTTCTAAAATACCACAAGACAAACCAATTAAGTGCTGGATTAAAAAACCCCACATGCTAATGATTGGTGTTTCACCAAGCTGACTAGAGGGTTTTCCACACAGCTCCCAAAGGTCTAATAAAAACATTTCAAAGCCTGTTTCTTAAGCTAACAGAGCTCTCAAGCTCCCTACACACAGAGTATTCAGATTGATTTCACTGCAGTTTATCAGCTTACAACATACAGCCTGGCCTTCCAATACAATGAGGCCATTTTATACCTCTGAAAAGTTAAATTTTTCCAAGAATGCAGAACTAGCAATAGGCTTTGATTCTGGTTAGAGTGATGTAAATAACTTCATCTCTTAAGCACTTGACATGCTCAGAGGAGATGGTATTGGCACACTCGGAAAGGATAGGTAAGAATCTGGCCTCAGTAAAACAGGCAAGAGGCAAGTGCAGTTATCCCCATTAGTAAACTTGGTGAATTTCCATTTCCTAAAATGTTGTAGCCCCTGTAGCTGGAGAATACAACTTGTATATTTTTTTTCCTTTTCTTTCATATTCACTAGTGTACCTCCAAGCTGGAGGTACACTTTGGCTTTTTGTCATGGGCTGGCATTAAAGTAACTAATTCTTCAGCCTTCTTTTCAAATTCTCTATTCTTCCATTTTTGCTATTATCAGAACCTTGTTAGCTTTGGTGAAAAGGCTGGATTTGCAAGTTGTCCCAATGAAGAGAACCTCAGTAATAAAGTAAAACTAAGAGCATGTTCTTTAGGGAGACAAAATCTTGCGTTGCTGTTGATCTCTCCAAAACCTTCAAGTACTTTCTTGCTGACACAATTCCTTAAAAGAGCTAAAATATCCACCCTGACCTTTTAAATAATTTTAACTGCTCTGAACATAGCTGGGTTGCAGCACAGAAACAGCAACACCAGGGAGAGGAGAGGGTGTGGAAGAAAATAGGCAGCAGCTGCAGAAAGTATGCAACGGTGGCATTCAAAGAGAAAAGATCTAATTCTCCCCTCACAAGAATAAAAGTACTTAGTTTGTTCCCAGTGTTCACAGTTTGAACACAGTGCTACTATGGTGACAGTGGTGCAAGGCACTAAAACAGTGTGAGCTTTTTTCCCCTCGTGCACACTTTTAAGCCATTTTTGCAGCATGATTGTCCCGAGTTCATAAAGCTTCTCTGTAACGTACTAGAAGTACAAGCCGTGGGTGAGCACGTATGCTCCTTTTTCCAAGCTATTCATCTGTGCACAGCTGGTTTAGTTTAAATTAAGAATAGAAATAATTTCTAGGTTCAGAGATGTGTGCACAATAGAAGTGACAGAGCATGAGTGTTGTTAACACAATAGGAAGCAGTGGGGAAGAAAGCTTTCCACATCTCCAGGAGAAAGGGAGGATGGGCCCTATTCATATTGTACAAGAAATTTCTTATTTCTTTTATGAGACTCTTGTTCTGGTCAGAGCTTGTACATTTTGCAGTAATTCAAGAATATCTCAGCCTTCTCACTGAATCTCAGCATTCTTTCTAAATCCCTATATTGACTGTAGTTAAATGTTGTTCTAAGTCAGAAAAAAAAGATTTCCTGAAGAAGCAGAATTGAGAAGTGCTTCTGGTTTGCAAGTCATTTCATTTGACACTTTTATTTTATTTTAGGACCTTATGTTACAACAATTATTTCATAGACAGGACAGAAGGGGAAGTAAATATCTAACATTTTGCCCATAATTTTCACTTTTGGATTAGAATGAATTCTCCCTGAGTAGCCTCCTCTATGCCAAGCCTTTGTAAGCCTCCTTCATTGCACATCTTGAGGCATTTCTCATCTGAGTCCTCAAAATGCTTCCCATTTGCTCTGTGAAAACTTGCACATTACAAACAGGCACCTGCTCATAAGTGTTTATTGAACTATGAGAGAGGAAAAAAAAAAAAAAAGCACCAAGAAGAATTTGTTGTTCTGAATGTGAAAACTGAAGAGAACAAAATAATTATCTGCCAAAAATTGGCAGGCTCAAAGCTTGCAGCAACAAAGTACTTGAAGGTTTCAGAGAGATTAACAGCAACACAGGATTCTTTCTCCCTAAAGAACATGCATAGAGTACTGAAAACTGTTCACAGTCCATTTTATTGGGCTCTTAAATTAGCCTGGCTTTATTTCTTTATGTACCATTGCCAATATGTTCTTGCAATGCATCATTTCTCAGTACAGCCTTGATTGAAGAAAAAAAGATGATAGTAAGCCGTAGCCACATCAAAATACTCATTCTGATTTAAGCAGAGCTGCCTCTTCCACATGTGGCAAACAGTTCTCTTTCATTCTGAAGAGCAGGCAAGAAAAAGCTGGTAAGGACTATAGGAAGGACACTGAGATCTTGCCTCACCATGGGCCAGCACAGGAAGAAAACCTGTAATTTGTGGTACAACACAATAAGAGACATGAATCAAAGCAGCACATGCATTACCAAGACTTAAAAGAGCATGAAAAGATTGATGGAAGATCAAATGCTACTGCTTCTTTTTTACTAACAGAACTGCATGGATTTTTCTCTGTTATTGGGGTGCTTTGAACCAGAAGTCCAGCTTTGCAGACAGGGAGTAACTGGACTGCACTATCCAACATTCCTTCAGCAGCCTGGTAAAGCAGAGTACATGATAAGATGCCACACATTCTTCCTCTCTGATAGGTCTCTCCTTACAAATAAAATCATTAGATATGACCCATCTTCTCTCAGGATTTCAATTGTACTGTACAGATATAATCACAAAAGACAGTTAGTTCCTCAAAAGCAAAGCAGTTGCAGTAATCGTGATGGACTCCATGCAAGAATGAAATGCTGTTGCTGTACAACTGAACACATCAAAGAAGGATGTTGCAAGAATGTTACTTAATTTTACCAATTCCTTCAGTCACATTTAATAAAAGGCATGTGTGGAGATTCTGATACATAAGTGAAAGGTGCAGGTGTGCTCATCCTCAAATCCTCCAACACTGGTGCTGGGCTTGACATGAAAAGTGGAGCTGCCTCTTCAGCTAAGAGACAGATCTGTGTACAGACCTTCCACCAAAATGCTTCAAAGCCTGCAATTCTGTTGTTCCCCAACATTGTTCTTTCACAATTTCCCAGCAGCCTCTAGAACATTTGTGCACTCTGTTTAGTCAGAAGCTGGCACTGTGCACCAAGAAAAACAGAGTATGGTGAAGCAGCCTGAACTTCACATTTGATGGGATCATCATATAAACCCTTCACTTTCTTAATGCATGGTAACTGTAAGGACACTGACAAGCAGCATTTCAATCAAAATAGCACTGTATTAAAGCTTCTTTCACAACTGCTTCTCTTTAAAACTTGTGTTCAGGGTAGAATCAAAGTTACTAGGGTTTATATTACTTTTATCTTTGCTAGTATTTCAGCTGTGTTTAAAGACATGAAAGGAATACAAAAGTGAGACTATTTTCAACCCATTGCAGTCATTTTGCATACCCAAGGGAATGACACTTGCTGCCAATGCCCTTAGACTTTTGGGATTCTAGTATCAGCAGTAACAGGAGCCTGTCAAAATACCACCTTTAGAACAGTAACTAGCAATGACCTCAATCCACCTTTCTGGAGGAACACAGACTGTTCTGGCTTTTTGCATCTCAAACCATGCCTAGGGCTAATAAATTACCTTGATAATAGGAATGTGCTCAGTCCTCAGGGGGAAAGTCAGTCATTTATGCAAACGAGTTACTCAGCTTCTCTGCCAGATTAATATATTCCCAGTCTCCTGCTTTAAAGGATAGGGATTATTCAGCATTTCCATTAGATGATTCAAAACTAACTTCTATACTTAAAAGAAAAATGATCTGACAGAACTTACACTACTCTTATAGTAGTTGAATCCTCCAAAGAGAACTTCTAACCTGGTGAAGTAAGTAGGAATCTTAGTCACCATTTGGAAATTTAAGCATATTGACCATTTTCTTAGTAGCTTAATTGCATGAAACAAGCTGTGAAGAGGTTTTATTTTTAAAATGTTTTCTGTTCAAAATTGCTTGAACAGTAAGCTTCTAAGGGTAGCACAACATTCTACAAGAGGACCTCAAAAGATGCATCCAAGCAATCGAATTAGTCCTCTGCATTGTGTGTCCCACATACAAACTTTAATTTCTGCCTGTAATACCTGACCGGGTTTGGGTATTAATCTGTAAGTGCCTACCTTCTCTGTGCTTCACTGTGCTTTCCTATCCACTTGGAGTATGTGGAATTGCTGAATTATTCATAAACACAGAAGAAACCAGAAGGGTCACTCAAGTAGGATGCTGCCTTAGCTAGAAAGGCTGCATTCTAGCAGCTTGACTGTTCTTGTGTTATCATTACATCCCCCTCCTCCCCCTGCATTAGAGCACTGCAGATCAATAGGAAAAACATTGACTCGTGGGAGGGCAACCAAGAGGTTTCAAATTCTTGGCAGCTTCATTTGAAAAGAAACAATTCTGAATTAACTCTTACAAGCAAATACCTTCTTATCCCCCATATACTGCTGCTGTCTACAGCTCTTTTCTTTTTATAATACCATTCTTCATACCATTCTTCATTCATACCATTTTATCATTTTTTAATAATATGTGTTGAAAAATCATTATACTTCTTCAGAGAGTGTGTATCTCAGTGTATCTTCTTGGATGTTAGTTCACAT